AGGTGCTTTCCGACGGAATTTCAGGGTTTTCCGACGGATTTTTTCCGTCGTTGATTGACTGTTTTCTAGTAGTGTATGAATGTTACACCCCTAGTAATTATGCATCTATTAGCTTCAAATACAAGCTTATAGCCAAGACTATTCAGGGTAGGCCCAGATACAAGATTCCTACTAATTTCCGGAGCATACAAAACATTCCTAAGAATAATTGCAGTCCCCGAACTAAACACAAGCTCAACTTGTCCTCTTCCAAGAACCTTGATGGTAGAATTGTTCCCCATAAAGAGGTCTTCTCGATCAACAACCTTTTGAAAGGTTTTGAACCAATGTTTACTCTTGCACACATGCCTTGAAGCCCCCGAATCAATCCACCATGAGTCATCATCCGTGCACCATAAAAATGTTAGGATCCGTTGCATTTAAATCCAAACTGGAATTAAATTCAACCTCATGAATTGGATTACCTTTGGTGGGTGGGTCTTTGCTTTCGTTAGCACGGCCCTCCTTGGCTTTCTCCATTCTTTTCTTGAAAGAATAACAGTCCTTCTTGCGGTGTCCAACCTTACCGCATTCCCAACAAGCAAATTTGTTATTGTTTGCTTGCTTTTTTGACTTTCCTTTAGAAGAATTATTATTCTTCCTTTTACCACTAGTAGATGCACTAGCTCTTCCTTCATCTACCATGTTAACGGTAGATGTGCTAGGATTTCCATCCTTTGCACCTTCCATGGCACGAATCCCTTCTTCAATTTGAAGATGGGTGGCCAAACCGTACAATGTCATGTCCTCCTTTTTATGCTTTAAATCATGCTTAACATTCTTCCAATTAGGGGGTAACTTATCAATAATACTTGAAACAACAAACAATTCATTCATGGCTATTCCATGTTGTTCCAAGCTACCATAGATACGTTGCAATTCATGAAATTAGTCCATTATGGACCAACCATCAACAAATAAAATTATTAAAATTACTTACTAAAAACTTCATTTCTTGCTTGATGCATCTTCCGCCATGTACTTGCCCTCTAAGGACTCCCAAAGCTCCTTAGCCGACTCAACATTTTGGTAGACATCAAACAAGTCATCCTCCATACCATTCAAGATATGACCACGACAAATAAAATCATCGTTGTCCCATTTCGACCTTTCCCGAACATTCTCCAAGGATTCATTCTCATGTTCACCAGGCCTTGGAGTACTTATGACATAGGCTACATTCAAAGATGTAAGAAGAAAATACATCTTCTTCTTCCATCTTCGAAACTCCACACCGTCAAACTTTTTAAGTTTAACAAAATTTGTGGTCAATTCTTTCACACTAGACATGCTTGATTAAATTCTAAAAAATTAACCTCTTCATATTGTTAAGTTTTATAGTAATTCAACAACAAGAACTACTTAAGAATGTGGGAACAAAACCTAGATAAAGTATATTTCAAATCAAATTGTACAATAACCAAATACTAATTAAAGTATTACAAACCAAGCACCAAAATCAAATTATTCAGAAATTACAATAAAAAACACTAATGTGAAGAAAACTAAACATGTCTCAACTCCAAGCCTTGAAAGATGAACATGAACATGAGAATATTGATGATCGCTTGAGTCTCAATCCTTGATACTCTGTCTTAGGCGTGTACACACTTTCCTAAAGAGGTTAATTTCCCCCACAACGGTGCTTGGGTTCAATCCGGAAATCCTCTTTGAGATACAAACGACAACAATTCGTTTTTTGCACTAAGAATCGAAATAAAGATGAATAATTCACCAAGATTGGATTAATTGAAAGATTTTTTCTCACAAAAGTTTGCAAGAAATTTGAGAGAAAATGTGGAAAATACTTTTTGGAGAGATGAAGAATTAACTTCTGTATGTTTTCTTTCACGAAAATATGTCTTTTAATAAAAGACTTAATCGTCAGGAAAAACCACAAAACAGGGAGGCGCGGGCACGACACAAGAGGCGCGGGCGCGCCACCCAAAATCTGCGAGATTCCACAAGAAGGCAGTGAGGGGCGCGGTTTAGGCGTGACCAGCAACGCGGGCGCTCCACCAGGACGCGCGGTCGCGCCACCAGCCGCGCGGGCGCGCCAACCACACCCTTCCAAATTGCTGATTTCCAGAGAGGTGCGCGGTTTAGGCGCGCTCTCTACGCGGCCGCGCCTACCTTGCGCGGGCGCTCATCATGGGCGCGAGCGCGCAACCATCAACACTCTAAATATCCAACATGATCAACCAAGACAAGCAGACAATAGGATACGACCTTACTTGAATAAGATCTATTCTATAGGATCGTACCTATGTAACCTTGAGTTCTAAGAAGACAGAAAACCAAGTCTGGTGGATGAATTATGATCGTTCGATCAAAGTGTGATTAACGGCAACCACTGATCTTCGAATCATTGGTGCAGTAGAGGACCGTTCTCCAGTTCCTTGTATGTTTTATCCAATGTATATCTATCTATATTCATTTCTTTTGGGTAACAAAAATGGAGTTTCAAATGGTTTGAAACAATAGCATCATATAGAAGAATTTAAGAACGCCTAAATCCTTCACATAGAAGCATTTGCACAAATATGCTTTGAAACGAACAATAGCATCATGAGAAGAACTTGCAATAATCAAGTTGTCCACATAGACAAGCACATGCAATGAGACACCACCCTGAACATAACTGGATAGAGAATAATCAACATAAGATGGTTTGAAACTAAAGTGTCGCAAAACGCTTGACAGCTTAGCGAACCATTGACGCGGAGCCTGTTTCAAACCATAAAGAGACTTTCTCAACTTGCAAACTTTCCTCAGAACGGGAGTACCATAGCCCGGCAGAAAATGCATATAAACCTCCTCATCCAAATTACCTTGAAGAAAAGCATTATGAACATTCATCTGATGCAATTCCCAATTAAAAGAAACAACAACAGGAAGAAAAATACGTACCGTACCCATCTTAACAACAGGAGCAAATGTTTCATTATAATCAACACCTTCAACTTGTCGATTGCCATGAACAACTAAACGCGCATTCAAACGCTCCACTTTAAACTTATTGGTATATTTTATTTTATATACTTAACCACTGCCAATCGCTTTCTTGCTGGGAGGAAGATCCTCAATGGTCTACAAACCATCTCGCTCTAAGGCATCAATCTCATCTTGCACCGCCTTGCGCCAACCAACACATTTAAGCGCCTCTTTAAATAAAGACGGTTCCTTTCCCTTCGTAATTGCCATCAAAAAACACCTATGTCTCAAAGAAAAATTATTATATTCAACATGACAAGCTATGGGAAAGGCTTACCTAAAGAACGAGATTGTGAAGGGGCGATAGTTGACGAAGAAGTGGGGTTTATATTTTCCGTAATGTATGTGTTTGTGACATAATGACGCATCCACGAAGGTGGACGTTTCTCACGTTGACCACGACCAAAATTTTCCGTCGAACTCCCACTCAAATTCAAAGGAGTAAACGAATTATTTTCATCAGAAATAATTTGCTCTGTTATCGTACTCGAATTGGAAACCGCATTCGAATAACCACACGCAAGAAACAGCCCACACAATGCACTTGCCCACAAGCACCCGCCTAGCATACAGCAGACAACAACGCACCTCAAGCACGCAAACCAAACACCATGGCGCACCACACACCGAACCTCGACCAATCGAGTGCAGCACACACCACACTTGTAAATAAATGTAGCAGAAATTAGGGAATAGAAACCCTAATTTCGACTACACCCAATTATATGGAAAAATTTTAAAAAAAATAAAAAAATTAAGCCCTAATCTCACAAATTTGCAGAAAAATAAAGAAGAAAAATTACGAATGTGAGAAACAAACCAGGATCGAAAAAAAATCTCTAGAAATTATAGAGGTTGTGATACCATGTTAAACTCAAGAATATTAGGAGAAAATGGCCTAACCTTGTATTGATGATCACAAAGACATATATAGTACAATACATTAGGAAACCTAACTTGCCTAAAACTCCTAAAGGATATACATCCAAATATGCAATATTATCAACATAATATTAACATAACTAAACCAATATCTAATACATGTGGGTATTAACCACTTGGTCTTTTCTTATGTTGTAGACTAATTTTTTTCAAGTATTTCAAGACTGGTTCGCTTATTATCAGTAATTGTACTCAACTTTGGAGCTTCAAACTAGTAAATTTTATCCTTTTCTCTTGTAGTTTTTTGATTTCTTACATAATTAAAGTTAATTTATCTTTCTTGATCTTTATTACTTTTTGTTGCATTTTAATTTTATCCATAACATATCACTATTCCCCAATTATTTAACAAATTAGAACCCTAAATTATATTGAGCAAATGGGAAGGGGTTTGGTGACCAAGAAAAGGATAAAAAAAGTTGGATGGGGAAAAAGGAGGAAATGTCGAAAGTTAAGAAAACAAGTCATTGCACAATTTGTATAAAAGAATGACAATAGAAAATCAAAATAAATTTAATTTAATTAGGGTAAGAGTTTAAATTTATTACCAATATCAACACAATACAATAATCAATGAAGCAAAAATAAAAACATAATGTGTTATCCATAAAGCAAACATAACAAATTACATAATTGTAAAATAACCAATACAATAGTTCAACAACATTATAATTATTGCAAGACAATTTATTTTCCACCCTTAGAAATTTATAATTAATTACATCTAGTACCTTCGTTTTATATTATTTGCAACGTTAGAATTTTTATATCTCATAAATAATATGAAACGTAATTATTTTCAATTGAATTTGAATAGTTTAGATGGGCTACTAAGAAAGTCTAATCTATATCAACAATAAGAAGCATCAGAACCCCAAATGTTTAAAGCCCATACAATATCTATGAGTTAGTCCGCTTACTCGTATGAGTGTATGACAAAGGAAAAAGATGTACAATACGGCTTATATAAGATGAGAGCAAATTGGGAAAAAAGCGAAACAACAAACCCAAAAGCAGGGTATGTCAACAGTGGCGGACCCACGTGTAGTAATAGTGGGTCCCAGGACAATCTATTATTTTATTAAAAAAAAATGAAAAAAAATAAAACTAAATTTTTTTCACGAATCACGCTTTCCTCTCTCTGTACTCCTTTATATCTATTTCTCGCTGTACTCCTTCCTCTCTCTCTCCTCCATTTAAGCGTACTCGAAATTCTCCATTGAAGGGGCTTCTGAGCTTTCTCTCCTCCATTGAAGCAGTCTCTAAGGTTAGATGCTTCTTTTTCTTTAATCATCTAATATTAATTTTGACAATCTAGTTTTAATCGTGTGTTTAATTGTCAGTATATTCTCAATTTAGGGTTCTTCGAAGTTGGATAATTGAACTATTGTTATAGATAGTCGAATAATTTAACGTAATTTTTGGAGTCTAGTTTGATAATTGAGTCAATTTTGGTTGCTAATTTGTGAATTGTAGTTTATTTATTTTATTTTATAGGAAAAACACAAATTCACAAATTCCGAGGGGTGGGGGGAATGGTTTCAGGGGTAGGGGTTTCGAGTCTACGGCGGTTTCGGGTCAGGGAAAGGGGTGGGGGTTTCGGGTGGGGAAAGGGATGGGAGTTTAGGGTGGTTTCGGGTTGGGGAATTCAAGTTTTGGGCGGTTTCGTTGGTGGGGCTGGGGCGGGGGGTCTATTGCGCTCATGTGGCTCTGGAAGGAGGGTGGTTTCGGTGGTGGTGCAGGCAGAGGCGGACCCACATGTAGTGAAGCTAGGAATTGTGAAAATGTTTGATGAGTAAGACTTAGTGGCCTAATCTTTTCACCTTTTCTCATTCACCTGCGATTATATTAGACAGGGTAGAATTGCTCGACTTGGGGACCTTTGTTTTGATAACCTTGAGAGAACCCTTCTTGTATGATTTAGATTTGATTAGGAATTCCTTTTGTTCCTTTCCTCATAACTTGAGTTTCCCTTTGCACTCACTGGGTTATGTAACTCATGTTGGATGAACTTGTAAAATGATAATGTTAGTGAAATAAACGAATGAACTTATGAGAAGTTTAGTGTTCTGGTATATCTCATCTGACTGCCTTCTTTTTAGAAGCAGGGGCCAGAAACATACCCAACTAAGACCTGAATATTAAGTAGCTCTTAATTTAGATAGTTGCAGGTGTGCTTTTGCTTGGAGTCTTATTGTAGAAGAAGCTCGATCAGAACCTAGCTTTATTTATGGTAAGAAGTTTCTAGTCTCTGATTGGATATGTAGGAGGGCAATGTTTACTTTAGCCCTGTACGATTACCTGAGACAAAATAACTTAATGTTTATTTTCTGGTTTAATTTAAGATGAACGCTCCAGAGATTTGAAGATATTAAGAAATAGAGCATTGACAATGTAGTGCCCGCTGAGTTCCTAATTTTGAGAAACTCACTAGCATTGACTCATTTCTAGAGCATCCTTTATTACTTAGATTGGATTATTTTTCTGAGTTTTTGATTGTAAGTTGACATGAACTATAGCTTGCTGAATTGAGCTTCCTAATTAAATTATGACCAGTCCTAGCATAAGATGTGTGTAAAGGGGTTATTTTTATAGTTTCATGGGTAGTTGATCAAGGATTGGTGACTGTTGATGATTGAATAGGGCCAATAGGGGTGAACTTTGTCTTGGTAGCATTGTTCAATGACTTATGCACAATTCTCCTGTGACTGTATGGAAGTGTCTTGTAGAGTTCATTTAAATTACTTTAGTTCAATTGGCAATGCTTGCCATCCATAGAAAATGATGTTTATAGATATGAATGCTTCTGACTTTCTGAGCTTTGAGGTAGAATATTTGCTGGTAACTTGGAGTTTTAAAGCACGAGATTTGTTTGAACAAACATTGACTAATTGTCATGAGACCATGTATACCGTACAAGGGAAGTAGATTTGCATTGACATAGACCCCGAAAAAGGTGTATTCAAGTTTGTGTTGATTGTTGAACATTTAGGTTGAGATCTTTCAGGGATTTGGTTTAGAGTTCAGGCTTTGTATAGTACAAGGTTGATGGACGATGATACAAACTTTGACTATTATACAAGCTTTGACTATTTTTTGATATTATATGCGGTCGATGGAGATGGGACAACCTATTAATCAAATCCTGGATCCGCCACTGTATGTCAATGGCGGTCATCTTCCTCGATTTATTATACCGATTTTCTAATGATTTAGCTGCATAATTTGCTCAATTGAAATTGAGATTATCTTATCTTATTTTTTAAGAACGGTTTAATTTGATTGCTTAATTTTATTTTTTACGAGTTTAGAGTTTGTAATTCAATTCAATTAACGAGGAAGAAGATGAATCAGAAGGATACAAGGTCCAGGGCGCTGAAAAATCAGAAGAATACAGGGTCCAGGTTAATTTAATTTTTTTTGTTTAATTGAATTATTCTACCAGTAATAAAATCATCCAGTGATTTTGATTTTTTTTAATTTTTTTTTTCTTGGGTCAGTCCAACTGAAGACGACGATGATTTTCGTGATGTAACTGATCCTTATCCTGATGTACCAGAAGACTATGTGTAAGTTATCTTGTTTATCATTGATTTGTTTTTTTGAGCTTATAATAAAGGACTTTAGTGGAGTAGCTCATAGCTTAGCAATGGCTGATTCTGTTCATGAGTAATAATGCTTCTCTCTTTGCTTCTTGCCAAAAAAAATAAAATAAAATAAAGCACTTTAGTGGAGTAGCCATTCATACGTATAACCTTGCTTATCCCGATGATTGTTTCTGCCCTAACCTAACGTGAACGCATCATGATTCATTCGTATAACCTTGCTTATCCGATGTTTGTTTCTTCCCTAACCTAACGCAAACGCATCATGATTCATTCGTATAACCCTGCTTATCCGATGATTGTTTCTTCCCTAACCTAACGCAAACGCATCATGATTCATTCCTATAACCTTGCTTATGCCGATGATTGTTTCTGCCCTAACCAAAAATAACGCGTCATGATTATCAAGTATTAAAATTTTGATACTAGGGATTTTACAAGTAAGGACACGTCAGGACTGGACTTCCCATATTCAAGTTACAACTATGTTAAGTGTTAACTCGTAACAAGTTCACAAAATATAATTTAAAGTTTATGTTATTTTGAAACTCTAATTTTGAGTTCATTTCCTCTTTTATATCAATGTGAGTTATTTAACCTTTTTGTTTGGTTATACGATATATTTGTCATACACGGATAGGATACACCTTCAAAGCTCTCAGATTATCACCTCTCTTATGATTATATTAAGTTTACGCTAATATTATGGGTGCTAATGTTTCTCTGTTAATTCTGTACCTGTATATTTACTTCCTAATTTTAAGTTATCCGGAAAAGGACTACACAGAGGCCTATCGTCGTCAAAATCTTGAATTCTCCCAAATAGCACTGGAATACTACAACAAGAGACATGTATGTAAATTCTTTCTATTACACGTACTTAGCTTAGCCTCCTTTTTTTCATGCTTCTAGTCTTTTTCTTGTGTCATCTATTTCATTCTTGTTAAAATTTCCATGTGTTATTTGCAGCGTACCAAGTATGAACTTGTTGAGCCCATGGATAGGGCAGTTTTCAGCCATTTTCCAATGTGGATGCATCTAAACTTCACGGCTAAGCTGAAATCCGCTCTTGATGGGGATGGCAATTCTTCCGCCAAGCTCTTCTTTGTGGAGTTTTTTCATCAAACAGGTCGCTGGGTTGTCAATGCCTGTTGTATCCTTAAAGGTAAGAAGAAGCTTCTTTCTGCCCTCAAACTTCCTAATTTTTCCTGTTCAGCATCTTAGATTCTTAGGCTGTTGTAGGTTACATATTTGCTGATACCTGCAATATGATTGCAGCAATTGATTTTTTCTACTAGTGGGTGTGCAAGACGTCGTGTCAATTTGTGTTGATGGGTCTCATTTTAGATCGGGAAAGTGTAGCTTAAAAATCTGTTACCATCGCTAGTTAAGTATGTAAGATATTGATGGTGTTTGAGATCGTGCATCGTAATTGGCCTTCATTGCTCATGATATGCTTCTAGGTTTGTAGTTGGTGGGCAGGAGGGCTAACATGTGAACAAAATGAGATTCCGGACAAATAAAATCAATATTTACAATGCCGCATCAATAGCATGTTTAATTTTAAATTCGAGAAAGTGCAGGTTGCAAATTTATTAGCCTCTAGTTGAGCATGTAAGATATTGGTTTATATCTGCTCTAGTTCTTGCTCTTATAATGTTTGCTAGCCTCTATGTCGTATCATTAAATTTGAGATTTTTGGCCTTTATTCTTCAAATTACTAGTTATGTTTACATTTCGTTATGAACTTCATTTACGAAGTAAATTATTTGTCCACAGGTAAACCTAGCCACTGTGATTTTTGTCAACTTGTTGAGTCGGACACCGTTAAGCATCCAACCCATGGATTTCGTATGAAGCATTTGGCTGAGCCTTATGCTTTACGCTCTCGAGCTTGTGGTTCTACAGTCGGCTAGGATGTCAACTTGGCAGCCAAGTTTTGAATTCTGTAAACAATGGTTGCATGTTTTCAACGTGTTTGATGGCCCTAAAAACCATGTTATGTACTAAGCAGTATAATTTTATTTTATTTTTTTCTTTGACAAAAGCAAATTATATTAATAAATCAGAGTTTACAACATTCAAAATAAAAACTAAAGCTTACTACTACATGGCTTTTAACATTCAAGCCTTTCCAACTTTCGACACTAAAAACCAAAATATAACTGGAGTTGGCCGGAAAAGTTGCGAAACAGGATCTCTTTATAGGCCAAAGAGCGGATACCTACTTCAAAACATAAAGAGAGCATAGAGTATCGAAGCTGTTTGATCATGGCTAGTTTAACCTTCCCTAGTGGGATCAACTTATCACCACGTAGGGCCTTCAAACCGATCACATGGACACGTGACCTATCATTCATAAGCTGTTCTTGTTGGCAAGAAAGCTTTGACAACGTCGAGACTCGAGAAACCCCAAAATAAAGTTTGGGCGCCTGCTTCGGATAGAAAAAATCAAGAGTGATGATCACAATGATCACTCCAATGAAAGAAGCAGAATGACGACCATAGTCATTCCATCATAAAACACACCACACCCTAGCCATGGCCAACTTCTTGTTCGTCTCCCAAACAACGGCAACCCAAGTTACCTCTCTCAACACAACAACAAAACCAAATCCCTTGACAAAGTATCCAAACTCCTTCCTCACACAACCATCCAATAAATTATAGCCAAAACAACCAGAAAAACAGGACAACAACCAAGAAAGGCTAAAATAAACCATACATAATTTTAAGAAATAAAGTAAACTCTGAATAACAAGAAGAAAAAACATACTTAAGTAAGACGACCAAATCAGAGAGCCCCTCTCGGACCCAAAATCCGAAACCATAATAGCAAAGAACCTCAAAACCTTAACCCTAACTTCACCGTTTCCGTCACGAACCACTCCTGACGGCAGCGTTAGGTCTAGCCCTCCAGCGCAAGGACCCATGAAACCCTAACCCTAACTTTACCGTTTCCGTCACGATCAAAATTACCAATGACCTTTATGACGGCGGCGTTAGGCTTAGTCCTTAGACCTCTTGTTTCGCCGGCGAAATCCTTTGACCGTGAACCTCCCTCTCAGAGATGGGTAATAAGGGGCTACTCTAGAACGTCTTAGCCGTGGAAAAGGGCACAACAACACCTTCAAGACTGCGATTAAAAGGGGATAAGAGAAGAAAAGAGGGTGACGACTGAGAAGAGAAGAAGAGAAGGGCGGAGCCTCGCCGGCGATCTTCACCGATTAGAGGAAAGGGAAGCAGATAGGGGAGGGCGGAGACTCGCCGGCTTAGAGGGAGCGAAAAAGGAGGAAGCTCGCCGGAGAAACGACTGCGGCGCCGGATCTCCGGCGAGCACCTAGGTTTGCGGGGAGGTGGTTCTGCTGTTAGAGGAGAGAGAAGAGAGCGTAGGTAGTTGAGGTCTTCACTCGTACTGTAACTAACTAAGCACTATAAGTGCGAATCAAGTCATAAACATATTTTTTTTTCTTTTTTTTGTAGATCGTCACTGGGCATTTTGTTTGTTGAATCTACTACAACTATGTTTATTACTCTATATACTCCCTCCGTTAATTTTTATTTGCAACTTTTGTCATTTTAGTCCACTAACCATTATATGCAACTTCTATTTTATTTCTATTTTTAGTACACAAAAACCTTAAAAATTACAAATTTACCCTTAATTAAAAATTCTGATTTTAATAATTTTACTAGTGGGTGGGCCAACTTTCTCTCTCCAAACACTTTAATCACTTTCATTTATTCCCACTAATGTTTGCCCCTTAAATTTTGCCTCGTGAAACCGCAAAACCCCCCAAAGTTGCAAATCTAATCTAATATATATAAATAAAGTAGGCATTTTTGGAAAGCATTCGGCGCGCCACATAAGCAAAGGTATATTTTCGACCAATTAAAAATTAGATTTCTATTTTATTTTGGAATTAAAAAATTCAGTCGCCACCTAGATAAAAGTAATTTAACAATTTTGCCACGTAAGTAAAAACAACGAATATTGATTTATTAGGATTTAATTTATTTAAAAAACTAAAAATTATCTTTTAAAATAATCATCTTTAGATATAGGATTTATATACCTACTATTATAAGATAAATTTTGATAGTGTTTATGATGAGAAATAAAAATTATTCCTTAATTATAATTAAATTAAAATTTGTGATATCTACCATTATAAATTGACAAATCATACGACACAACAAAATTTCGTATCAATACAAAACCAAACCAAGCAAATTTTGTGTCATTAATTTTGCGTCAGTTTTATTAGGTCATAAATGGCTGGGTAATTCTTAGCCTAATTTTTAAAACCCATGTTTAGATGTATATTTGTGATTATTGCTTAAATTGTGTTTATTTAGGATACTTAATGATTATATGTTTATGTTTTGTTTACTGAATTTTGTTTTTATATGCAGATCTAATTTAATTAGAGAATTAAATTCGAGCAAAAATCTTTGGAATATCAAAGTACGAGTTTCTCGCCTGATGATCCTATTGGATGAGGAGGTATTATATCTTTATAAATCGTTTACATTGATTAAATATTTTAATGAACCATTTAGTTTTTATCAATTAATTTTATGATTAAAACAAATTTTTTGTGATTTAGGTAGCTTTATTAAGTCATAAAATTAACTTATTTTTTTATTTTTAATTACAAGGTGATTACGTTCATACCTCAATTAAAATCAACTTTGTTCTACAATTTTGTTCAAAATTGATTGAAGGAAAAGTTTACTCCATTAGATACTTTTCAGTCGTTACAGAAAAGAAGCAATATCGCACGCATTGTCAGCGACAACAAAATAATGATTTAATTTTTCAAAATACTATTGTTTGGGCAATTGGGGACGATGAAAAAATGCATAGATTTAATTTTGTATAATTACAATTATTAGATTAATTTCACATCAATTATTCACTTTCTGGTAAATATTTTAATTATTTTTATAAGACTATAAAGATTAATTTTATATAAATTTCATTTTTGCTAACATGTTCTATTTATCCACTTTTATTAGATGGAAGAGATATGGGTGTGAACAAAGTTGGTGATCCTATCGAAATTTTTTTTTAATACAAATTTTTTTACATCGAAATATTACATCTAATAACTATTATTTTTAATGTTCTTATCAAAATATTTATTAGGGGAATAAATTACATAAAATTATCCTTAACGAACAATAGCACAGTAATCAAAAATATTATCAGTATGATCTGATTACAAAAATTATTTTTATGATCTAACACATTATAAATTCTCCCTTCTTCCCCTTTTTCCATCCTTCCCTACAGATTTTTTTTTCTTTGTAAAATGAGAATTTAGATATTTTGGGTTTAGGGTATAGTAGGATCAATGGTTTCTGATGGTTTCTTTTTTTTTTTTTTTTTTTTTTTTTTTTTTTTTTTTTTTTTCAGTTTGCAGTTAGAAGACGAGGAGATGCTTATGCCCCATTTTGATGTCACAGTATTACTTCTACAATAGGTCAGGTTTGATTGGGTTGGCTAAGTGCTGGAGCTGAGAAGCTTGACTAAAGATGGGTTGTCTTATTTAGAGAAAATTATTGTGAAGAGTTATGAGGTTGGGATTAGTAAGACTGCTACTTTATTGTGTAAGTGTTTGGTTGTTTTGTTTAATTTTTATTTTTGGATGGCCTGGAGAGCAAAGAGTTACAATATAGCTTCAGATTATGTCTCCAATATGAAACTTTTAACAATGGCTAAACTTGAGTGAGCAATTAGCTTAGGTTGTTTGTTGACTTCAGGTTGCAATTAGCTTCAGGTTTGAACTTATGGTTTATCATTATTCTTTTTAAGTAATGAGTTGATTGTAATTGTGTCTACAGCTTTGTTTAATATCCCTTAGGTCATGATTTGCTTTAAGTGTATTTTTAGATGAGTGGAATTACTCTTTGTTTGTTAATTTCAATTTGCTTTGATTGTTCATTTATTTGCAGTACAATATCATGTGACTTTGCCATTTTAGCTTAGGGTTGAGCTATAGATGGAAATTTTAATTTGAATCTAATTCTTTTGATACTTTATAGTTGTACATTGCTTCTACAGTTATCAATTGAACGTGAGGTCCTTTATTCTTTTCAATTTTGTTCTGCTTTCTTATCAAATTATCAAATGTTGATTCCATATGACTGACTTTTTCTGGTTTTTCTCTGTTGTTCTTCTTTGATTATAGTGCGCTCACCTGGAGCTTGATCCATCAAAATAATCTGTGTGGATTAGTAAAGCAAAGCTTGGAGTTGTTGCGCGAGAATTTTGTTCAAGTGTCTTCAGGTATACAGACTATACTCTACAATTTACTACTGAAATCTTATTGAATTGTGTGGGTGCATGTTTATAATATGATCGACTTTTAGGGGCTGAATAAGTAACTCTGGGTTATCCTTTTTATCTCATTGCTAAGTCTATGCTTTGTATGCTCTCTTTGTTTTTATCTGTTACAAATGACAACTCATAAATGCTTTCTTGGCTGGGGTAAGCATAAGTTGCTAATTATTAGCTTGGAGGAAATTGATGCTATTAAATTGAGAATTGAAGGTAATGAGAGTTATTTTCTCAGGAAGAACAGCTTAATGAGAGAAAAGGTGAATTTTATCATATTTTTGGTAATATATTCGTGTCTGAACGTTAGTGCCTATTTTTGAGTTTTTTCCCCCAGATTTATGATGTGGGTTTTTGCTTATTTTCTTTAACTTGTTCTTTTTGCTGTTTATTGACTATTTTTTTCGATTATTCTTGCTTTATATGTGTAGAGATCAACAAGGAAAGATGGGAAGCTTGAATGAAGATTAAAGTGATAAGCAACATTTTCCTCTCTTAACGATCAGTGAAAGAGCAACATCAAGTTAGTTCTAATGCTTGTCTGAGGCCTTGAGTTCTTTGTTTATCTATGTGTAATCCATCACTCATTTATTTTGGTTAATTGAATTTTGGAATTTGGGTTTTTTTTTTTTTTCCTTTCTTATCGTTTTTACCCTATAATTAGAATTTTAATTTGAGTAGTACTTGTCCTGCGATTTTTGATAGCTTAAGTAATCTTGAGATGCACTTTAATTTGATAGCTCAATGGTGTTACGGAGTAAGTGGTTTAACTAGAATGCTAGAAGCAAGCAATATGAAGTATGAATGACCTTTTTGTTCTTATTATTTTCTTTCTTCCCCATTTGCAGGTAACACAATCTGCACTTGACAAAGCAAACTTAACTGCTAAAGATCTTTCTGCAGTAACAGTTACTATTGGTCCTAGATTAAGTTTTTGCTTGTGTGGTAATCTATTTGGTTGACTATTTGTGTGTCTGGTTTTATTTACAAAATAGAAAAATAGCTCACAGTTCTTATAAATTTGAGCAATGGGCATAGAGACCACGTGTGTTAAGCAAAAGCTTGGGAATATGGTTGAGCAGATTAGGAAAGGGAGTGATGACAAAAATCTTTCTATATAAAATTCTTACTTTTCTTTTTCTTCCATAATAGCAAATATTGGTTTAAACGTGAAAATAGTTGTGAATCTCCTAAATTACTCTTTGTTTTCTTTGAAAGTCTATAGCAGTTCATCATTAGTTAACCAAACTAAGGAGCCATTTCCAGTCTAACTAATTAAACCAAACTATAAACCATAACCTCTCTCTTTCCTTAATTTCCATTTTTTTAGCATCTTTAAAAACGAAACAAGATGTTAGTTATCAGAATAATTCATCTCTTAATTTGTTTCATAGTTGCTGTGTAGCAGTTTTGTATTATTTTAGGAATTCCCAACTCTGTAAAAAAGTTGGGCTCGCTCCAAGTTATTTAACTACTTCATGTACCTCCATTCAAGTATACTCTCAATTCTTCATCAAAGCGTCTTCTGAGCTTCATCTCCCCCATCAGACAGGTTTTTGAAATTCTGAGGCAATCTGTCTGTTTTAATCAATCATCAAATTTCAATTTCACAATCTAGGGTTTTTTTTACCTCAACATGCTTTCAATTCGATTTTATTTTTTGTTATTCTGTTTATTTAGGGTTTTAGTGAATTGGGGAAATTATCGTAAGAAAGAAAATAGGGTTGTAAATGGGATATAGATTTAACCACTTGACAAAATAAGATTATTGAATTAAATTAATCATCTTATCTATAATTAGCATGAGATGATATAGGTACCACTGTTGTCGGTTTTATTTACTAGGTTTATTTTTTTTCATCATTTATTTGATTTTGGCTTTAATTGATGAGCTGATTTGATGCTGATTTTTTTTTATTTTTTTTATTTTTTTATTTTTTATATTTCCATTGATGAGATAGGTTAACATTCAGATTAATTTTGTATCTGAATTGAAGTTTGAGTAGAATTGAATTTTGGCATTGAAAGGTTGTGTTGTATGTCCTAGAATAGGGTTTTTTATTTTTTTTATTTTATTTTTATTTTTTTTATACCAAAAAAATTAATAAAATTTCAAGGTTCTGGTGGAATTCGGTTTAATGGAAGGCTGTTATTTGGGAATTGAGCTATGTGAATCAAGCTAATGGGATTATGTGGAAATTTATGCATGACAAGCTGATGCTTGGTTCTTTTTGTTTTAATTTGATTGCTTGATTTATCAGGAAGTTGAGGGGAACAAAAACCCAGTGTAATTAGAAAATTGACGTGGGTGAAATTAGAGCTTGGGTTTCTATAAATTAGGGGTAAGATTAAAAAAAAATTCATGAAAATCTGGAGTTTTGGATGGAAATTGCAACAGGATTCCAGAAAATAAATAGGAAGGTAGGAGGGAGAAAGACCAGGGACAACGAAAAACATCAAAAGCTTAATTGAAACCGAAATTTTAGCTCATTAGGATTTTTTTTGGTGGCTTTAAAGTTCAAAATTTAAGCTTAATTGTTGTTTTGCAGGATCTCGAATTCTCGCAATTCCACCCAACTGGTATCTATGGTCCTGGATGCCTAATCACTGAAGGTTGATTTTACTCGTACAATATATTTGTTCTTTTCGTTCTTTTGTCTAATGATTCTAAATGAACTTTGATTAATCGTAACTAATCTGTAGAAGAAATTTTTGTATTTTATTCCAGAGTATATTCTTTTTTCTTTGATGATACCTTTTGCAGCTGCCTATTTCTGGAATTTTTTCTTTAGAAGTGATCTTTAATTTCCTTCTCAACTAGAATTTGGATAAAATTTAAAAAGAATGAGTAGATAAACATTGGTTATGAGTAGTTGATTTCAATTGTTGTCATCCTTTGCTTTGAGGTAGTTGATTCGTATATATGTAGTAATAAACTGTACATTTTATTTCCTGAATCAGAGATTGATAGAGGACGAGACTGAGAAAGTCAAGGGCTTTTCAGCAGAGACAACAACACCCTTTAGAGAAAGACTTATGATCTTAGGACGTCTAGCGAATGAAGAAGATCTCAGTCTGAGACTCTGAATGTAGTAGAGTCGTAGAGAAGAGCTACAATGCATACAATGAGAAATCTGTCCTGTCAAGCCCTAAGCACGAGTTTTACTCAGTAAGAAAATTTCGTGTTTTCATAACTATAATTTTTTTTTTGAGAGTCTGAGCATTTATATCATATGCTATGAAAATTATGTTTTTTTAATCTCTACAAGTCGTTGGTGGTAGAAGCAAAGTTTAGGAAAAGGGCGTATGCTGTAATCTTCCTTCAATTTCAGTTAATTATTCTGGTTCATACTTTACCATCTAAGGTACTCCTGAATTTAAAAATTATTTGTTAAAGTATTTGTGAATTCAGTCTTTTAGTTGTAGCTGAGCTACTACTTTTGTGGCATCTTTTCCGTTATCATTATGAGATGTTAGTCCATAAAGACAAGGATTGATAGATGTTTGCATTTCCTTCACTGAATTCTACTGAATAAGGATTTGTCACCATAAAAATTGAAAAAATTTCCCTCCTTTTTTTGACGGCTTGACGCTTCTTTTGTTTTCTTAAACTTATTGGTTATAACTATCCTATCTTTGTCTGTAATATGCAGCTCATAATATCTGAGCTTGTCTTGCAACTTCTTTATATATTGAATGTGGAAAAGTGGCTGCTTAAAATAGATTAAAGCTCCCAAAAACATTATATCAGGTAGCTTTTCTCACATTTGTTCAATAAAAAAAAAGGGTAGCTTTTCTCACAAACCTTGAAATAATTTTAGTTTTACATTACACTGTGATATTAGAAGGATATGGTGATTATCAGTGACTACTTGCAAAAAAAATCAAATTTGTGTTTTTCCTATGTTCTTTTACTGTAGTATTACGTTGGACTATGAAATGATACTGATTACTGGAGACTATCAATCACTAAGCTCTTTGTTCTTTCATTCTTGTATCAATTCAAAGGTTCTCAAGATATTAGGCATTACCATTGCAAATCTGTAATGAAGATTAGAAGAGTGCTCATTTTTTTTAAAGATTTTACCGAACAAATTAGTGACTGAATCTCTAATTACTCGACAAAATCTTAACTTATCAAGCCTAGGAATCATCTCAGATAGTAATTTATTTGTTATTGTAATTGTGTTTCTAATGTTTAAATATTTATTGGTTATCTGTTGATGATAACGTTCACATATTGCCTATGTTACTCGGACTAGGGTACCCATGGCCGACACGGGTACGTGTCCAAGTGTCCGACTCAACTATTTTGTGAAAATTTTCTATGATTTCTTGTATAATTGAAACTAACACATTTGAAAATGATCTTAGGATTAATTATGACTCATTTGAGGCTCATTTCTTAGTGTCCATTGGAGCTCATCGATTTAGTTGTTTTGAATAGGTATTTTTATGGACATAAAATCACTGTTTACTAGCTTTTTGTGAAATTTGATGAATATATCTATTTTACCTGACTTGAATATTTGGTTTTTTGAAATTGGGTCGTCTCTCTCTTCTTCCCAAATTTTTCATATTAAGCTATATGATAATGCACCTGATTGATAGTATAAGCTTATGAGTTACAAAGATGAGTAGATAGAAACTCGCATACACTTCTAGCTAATTTTTCCATACATTGGCTACCTTAGCTTTTTCTTTGAGCCTTACTATATTTTATCTTCTTTTCTATTTGCAGGCTTACCTCTACATATGTCAAGCCACAATTCACTTTAGATTCTGGTGCTTGTCGTGTCAGTGTTTATGGTTGGAATGCAGCATGATCCTAGAAAGAGAATTGATTCTATAACAATGTAGTTTCAATTGCATTCTCGTGTTGTATCTTCAAATCTGACAACAAATCATGGAACACTGGACATCCTTGCTAACAAGGTAACACTTTTATATTATTTCAGCAATCAATGTAAAGTATATCTATACTATTTAGCTTCAAATTAGTGCATAGAGGGTTACTAACACTACTAGGGTGAATGTGGTAAGATAGTCTTTACAGTCAATCTTGAATATTATCTGCAGTAAGCCAGTACCACAAAAATTCAGTACAAAAGTCAGCATCCAAACCACTAAAGGCTTGAAGATTATCTGCAGTAAGCCAGTACCACATGAATTTGAAAAAATTGTACATAAAGGACATAATGACAGCAAACTAGGAGTGTATAATCTTTGTCAATATCCTTGTTGGAAACTAGAAAGTGAATTAGTAATCTGGCAGCCAGAAACTTACTGAACTGAATGTAGGGGAGGAAATTCATACATCAAATCTTTGTTATGCTTCCTTTACTTTTTGTAGTTTAAAAATATTTAGCTTATTTTGTGCTAATTTCTCAGTTCACAATACACTGCTTTAGGTCTTGTGATACCGAATGCTTGCTGGTTGATTTGGTGTTAGGTTCTAGCCGAGGACGATGAAAATAACGTCACAGCATTGTACATATGAGGAAAAACAAGAATAGAACTAGGGCAAATAAGTTGATGCAGCTAGAGAAGACTTGGTCAAATCTCGTAAATATGCTCTTGATGACAGGGTTCTTGCTTAGCATGAAAAATCTGTAGCTAGAACCAGAAGGGGCGTGACAAAGCAATGCTAGGACAAACTGAACCCAAGAGATCTATCGTAAAATCTTCGAGGCTGCTTGATGTGTTTAGCTTATTGCAAGCTTACTCGTACCTTTTTTTTCTCTGTGAACTAGCAATATGCTTTTTAAAGACTACATACGTACTGTGGTGTTCATCAAATTTACATGTAACGTGTTCTTTACCTTTTGTTTCATTTTTCTTCATTCTATAAAATTTATTCTCAGAGTGTCTTCGCTAAATTTTCTTAGTATTATTTCCGAAAGTTATGACTTGCTATTGTCTGTCAAGTACTCTACAATGCATTGTTATAGTTACAAATATATTTTTGCTTGGTCAGATTGTTTGAAAATCTCAAGTAATGTCTTACAAAGGTTATGCAGCACTGATCTCTAACATGGTAATTTCTATTTTCAAATGGTTTTGCATGGTTACAATAAACAAGATGGACCTGAAACTATGCGAAACCATTTACATTTGTAGTTCTAAGAGGGAATAGATAAGGCTTTTACACTATTTTCAACCTTTCAAAAATAAGAGTTTATTTTGCTTATAACCGTGTATCACTTACATATGTTGGTAATACAAATTAGTCTTAAACTTATTTAACTATAATCAAGATACTTAAATTAAATCAACATTATCATTTTTATTTTTACAAAACTTTACCATTAATTGAAATACAGAAATTACAATAACTTGGGGTAGCGTGAGCAACAAGCGCGATACCACAACTACTAATCATTAAATATGAGATTTCAATTGTGTTTAGATAACTATACGCTTACTAAGTAGAAGAAGTTTGAATAAGTTTGAAACTAGTTGAATATGTCATCTAACCTTAGTTAATATTAAGATATTTATAATTATAAATGTATATTCATTTATATCGTTATAAACTTAAAATGTAGTAAATTTACTACTCCGTATTAAAAAAAAACTTACGATTTCATAATCTACTATCTCCGATCGGAATTATCTGCAACTTTTACTATTTTTGGCTACCCAGCATTATCTGCAACAATTCATTTTCTTTCCATTTTTAGTAACTTTTTTCCTATAAAATGACATTTTTTCCCTTACTTAACATTTTAGAAAACAGATTAAGAGTTTAATTAAACTACCTTTTAAAACTAATCTAACATCATTAGCATTAACTTAAAAAAAAAAATCAGAAAATCATACTAATTATCCTACTCTACCCACTCCATGTACTCATCCCCTCAACCACCTTCATTGAATGTTCATCAGATATGATGAACTTCAAACCCTAATCTCTCCTTCACACTTCACTCAGCCTCCTCTTTCTCTCGTTCGTTTTCTCTTTCCTCCCTTTTGTAGTCCCTCAGTTCGCACCTCTTCCGCATCTCTCATGGATTTAGCGCCTCTTCTCCCTTGCTCTTTTCGCAACTGATGATGAAATTGAGCAAGGTTTAATTCTAGCCTTCTTGGATGCCTTTGAATTTGGGTCGTCGTCGTGGCCTGGATTGTTGTACAATTCCGGCAAAGGCCGTGATTGCCTGAGTACCAAATCGGTCGCCGCGCTCAGTTTAGTGGTTGATCTAGGGCTTCTAACAGCTCTTATCAAACCCCCTTGTCGGTTCCGGCGAGGGTGAAGTGGGTGGGTTAAATTCATGTTTTCTCGGGGAAAAAAAAAAAACAACGGTCGAGGTGACAGAGGGTCTGACACCACGAACGGTGGTGTTAGGGTTAGGGTTAGGGTTCTAGCAAGGATCTACGACCAGAACGGAGGAATTAGGGTTCGGTTCTAGGTCTGGGTTTAGTCCTCCTTCCCTGAACAAACCCAGATCTACGGCCAAACCCCCCTCTTGTCCATAGGGTTGCTTTAACTCAATTACGAAGAATTCGTGGACCTCCAAACAAAATAACGTGCGATGATGGATTCGACGAGGAGTCCCCCTCTGACTTGCTGCTTAAACGAAATGGATTGGGTAACTGTTTTTAGTTTAGGAAAAATTCATGGTAATAATCCCACCTTTGGGATTTATTTAAATAATCCCATCTTTACCCCCCGATCTTTTTTAATGGTCCCAACCGGTCAAGTAACCAGTTCTAATAAGTTACCTGACATGTGGCGACCCGTGATTGGTCAAAAAATAAATAGAAAAACAGAAATAAAAAAAAGAAAAAAAGAACAAAAAATAAAAATCTTTTTATTTCCTCTTTCCTTTTTCCTTTTCCCCTGCCCTTACCCTATTTCCTCCCCCTCACGGCCTCACTTCCATGAATTCCGACACACTCCCAGCCACCCCAGCCACTGTAATACCCCGAATTTTAGGAAAATATTTTAATAATTTCTTGAATTATTTAATTTGGAGCCAAAATGAATTTTAAATATTGGCGCCAAATATAAGCATTTAATCATTTGAATAATTAATTATTTTCGGATTTCTAAATTAATAATATTGGTTTAATTACCTTTTAAAGGTCAATCCATATTTTATTCAATATGTATGTTATTATTTTAGAAATTATTAAAGATAATACCTAATATACATTATGATTTACAACAAATTTTAGTTTTGATATTATCTAAAATATTTATATATTTATAAAAACTTGATTTAAATATCAAATTCAACTATTTTATCCATTTAAATATGATTTTCGTTTTTAATAATTAAAAAAAAAGACAGATTTAAATATGATTTTCGTTTTTAATATTAATTATGATTATTTTGTGATTTCTATCTTATTCTTTATCTAACCATTAAACCCTCTCCATCATCTTATTTTATCCCTATCTTCCTTCTTCTAATCCTCCAATCAAATGAACTTCTATCCAATTTTTCTACTCATCTTTTACACCCAACTATTAATCTAGACTTAATTTGGTTCAAGCTCTTTAACAACCCCAAAACTTATCATGTTTTCTATTAATCATAACATATATTAATCTCAAACCCTTAATCCTCCTCAATTACTCACACCAAATCAGAAATTTCTTCTCCTTTAGTTCCCTTGAAACCCACGTACTCTTCCTCTTCCAAGTTCTTTGCTTCTTTTCCTAGCTTTCACTCGTACAAACACCGACCTTGCTTCCTCTTATGCGTACAACAACCAAAGCCGAACCCGCCACCACTGTCGCCCTCTTTCCTCCACCTACTGCTGCTGTCGTAAGTTGCTGCCGCAAGATAGGTGTTCCTTAGTTGCTCTTTGTTTCCCTCCTTGCCGTACATGCATCGTAATAAAAAAAGTTAAAAAAAAAAAAAAAAAAAAAAAACCGTCCATCTTATTTCATACTATTACGTACTGTACTATGTTCTTTTGGTTAAAGTACTATGTTCCTTATTGCTAATACTTTACTCTCTTATTATAACTATGAAATTATTATAAATTATTGTGTTGAAATTAAAACAAAGTTATTATTGTTTTTAAAGTAATACAAGTTTGATGGTTTGGTAATTCATGCACAAGTAGAATGGTGTTTATGGTTTTGTGTTATTTTGTTAACCTTATATTGATTAAGGTTATTTTATTGTGTAGGAGGATTCCCTTGATCGTGGTCAAGTGTAGTAGTCGTAGCTTAATTGTTCTCGTGATCAAGGTACGTATAGGTGGCTTGGTCCTTGATACAAGTTTGAATGCATGTTTTGGTAAAGGTTTATTGTAATGATTATTCGAATAAATGATGAATATGAAAGATTGAAGTTAATGGTTTTCATGTTGAGTTAAAATATAAATTTTACGATTTAAAGGTTTGATCTTTAAAAGTGTAGTTTAACTTAATAAAAGTTGTTTATGGATCACCGGATTTCAAGATATTGAATTAAAAGAATTAATTTAAACTTGTAACTCGTTATGGTCCTAAGTATCTATTATTTTAATTGTCCCTTTACTCGGGACTGGTTAAGTAAGACCGTGAACTTTGTATGATCTGGTCTTTCCTCGAGTATAGTTTAACTTGCTTGGGGGGGGGTGCACACTTAGGTGAGGAAAATTGATTTTGGAAATTCATCTTAAATTGGAAATCTATTGGTGTGGAAAGTTTCTATTAATGGATGTTACTACTTTTGGATGGTTTAAATTTTAGAAAGTCCAATTTTGGAAAGTGACTTATAGCAAGTTTTAATTGGAATAATTGTTTCAAAAGCATGTTTGTCTAATAAAAGCATTTATATGCCTTGCACTTATATGTACTTAGCGTTTTTGCTAATCCGGTTTCTTTTTGTTTTGGTTTGCCCTGTTTACCATTATTGGTAAGCAGTTTTGATTTCAGGCGTGGACTTGATCGTGCGCATACTTAAGTCGGGATTGAGATCACCTAGTTAGGAATTTACTCACTCATGAGTCAGACTTGCTTATTTATTTGGAGTATTATCGAATTATATATTACGATTTTATAATATTAATAAAAGTCAGTTATATTCCGCTGCGATTTTTAGTAGTTAAATAAGCCTTACGTTTTCACGTGGCGGTAATACGCCCAAGTCTATCTCTACGATATTTTATACGTATAAATATAGTATTTATGTAGAGGGAGATTCGGAGGTGTTACATCCACCTTTACCGCCCTTCCCCAACCACCCTGTTGCCCTTCCCAACTTCCGTAGCCACCCCATTCACCAACCACGACCACCCACCCTCATTCTTCACCTTCACCCACGAAATCGAGACGGTCGTACTTGTTGACATACACATCGCCATAAAATAGTGAAAATGATGGCAAACAAACTATTGGACGGTAGAGAAGATCAGAGGGAGGGACAGAAAATTTTCTTCATATTTCGAAATTCCTGGTTTTCGGGATTTTAATTGGGGGTTTGGGGTTTGATTTGGGGAATTTTGATTTGGGGGCTTGGGGATTGATTTGGGGATTTTAAACTCGATATCATCTGAGCTTTTTTCCTTCATCTCTTTGCTAAGTGTTTCAGGTTTCTAGGGTTTCGATGTGGGTGGATTGTTGTTGCTGGTTGATGGCGAGGTGGAGAGAGAGCAGCAACAAGGGTTTGGAGCGATAATGAGGATGCTGCTGTCTTGAGGTTGTGCGTGAGAAGGTGTGGCTGATTGGTGGTTGTTTGTTGCAGGTTGGTGCTTGATTGGTTGCGCAGGGTGGAGGTGCGCGGGCTGAGAGAGGAGGTGCGGTGTTTTGTGTGGTGGCTGCATTGGTTGGAGTTGCGAGGATTTCCGAGTGTTGGCCGAAAAGAGAGGGAAAGGGGACTA